GGGGTGGGCTGTGGCCTGATTGGTGGGGGGCTCTGGGGGCCCTGGAGCCTTGTGACAAGGGGGCTACCAGCCCCTGCGAGGGGCCACCCTGGCACTGGCCACTCAGAGAACACCCTCAAATGCCAGGGCCCCAGTAGCAGGGCAGAGGATGGGCAGGACATTCATGGACTTGCATTCAGGCTGGCAGAACTGGGGAGCTCATGGAGGAGGAGGGGGAGGACGGGGAGTGGCAAAGTGTCCTCGAGTGTCTCTGGGATGGAAAGCCCCTCGTCATTCCACTCCCTTGGCTTGGATGCCTCCAGGGTCAGGCAGCTCCCCACCCCTGAGAAAGCCCTCTCTGACACTGAGAAGGTCTTTGCTAGGCTGATGCTTTCACTCTGGTCTTGGCAGTGCGGTGTGTGCGTGTGCATGTGTTTGTGTTTGTGTGTGTGTGTGTGTGTGTGCGCACGTGCTGGGACAAGCTGTAAACCAGCATATGAGGCCAGAGGGCTGCCCATGGGGAGAGAATTCTAGGAACTTTTGTCTGCACCCCAGAAGAAGCAGGGGTCTTTCTCTTTGGATCCTTTATTTGATCTTGGGCCCCTGTTGCCTCAGAGAAGGACTTCTGACAAATTCATTTATACTGAGATGCTAGGAAATGACTTTGGAACTTCCTCTATAAAGAGGGCAGTTTTTACCCCAAAGCGACACTTCACTTACGGTGGAATGACAGGCAGCGGGGAGCTGATGGGGGAGTCTGGTGGGATAGTGCACTCTCTGGTTCCTGTTTCCCAGGAGAATCTCTTCCTCTTGTCTCAATTGTGGGTTCTTGGCAGGTGGGGGGGATTTTTTCTGTTTGCCCTGTTGACCCCACCCATCAGGGTCCAGTGACCCTCCCTTACCCCAGGGGACTCCCTGTGAGTGGCAGGAATGGGACAGTTAGCACAGCCTTTGTACCCATGAGTCACATCACCAAGATCTCAACTAAGGTACAGGTCCTGGCTGTGGAGGGCTTGCTGTGCAGCCTTGGGCAAGTCATTGCCCTTTCTGGGCCTCCATGGCCCATCTGGGAAAAGCAGAGTTTGGACCATAGGGTCTTTGAAGGCCCCTCCAGCTATGGCAGTCCAAGGTTCTGGGCCTTTGAACCCCTCAGGTTGCTGGTTAGCACCTGGGCTAGGCTCTGAGGGCAGCAAGACAAGGTGCCTAGACTCCAGATGATCCTGTAGGGCCAGCCAGGCAACTGGCCTCCTCTGGACAGAAATGACGAGAGAGTTATTGTTGGAGGCCCGAGGGCTCTCTTGTCTGACTCCCTTGGTGACAGATGGAGACACTGAGTCCTGGGTAGAGGGATGGCTTGCCCAAGTCCCTTAGAATATTAGCATTGGGTCAGACCTATAAACAGGTTTCCTGCCATTCTGTGCAGTTGGTTAGGTCTTGCAGATAAATCCTGGTGGGCTCCCTGTTAGAGGTGAAAACTAAGAGAGGTTCTAAAGGAAAGTGTGGGTGGAGACTTGTCTTCTAAGGAGGGGCCCAGGGGAAGGGAAAGGGGTTGCATTGTGCACCTGTCCTTGGCCTGTGTGCCCCTTGCATCCTAGAGCCCTAGAGGCCCTGGTGTCTGAGTTGGCCGTTCTGCACTTGGCCCCCGGTGCAGTGATGGAGGACAGCTCTCCCTGTGGTGTGGGCTGCCCCTGGACCGGTGGCCGGACTGGGCTGGACGCGGCTGTAAATCACCCACGGAGCAGAGCTGCCGGTGATGGTTTATGCATCGCAGGCACCTACCCTGAAACTCCGAATGGGCAGTGACATGTCATTCTAATGGGGCTGCAAATTTCCTTGTGACCCAGTGCCACCTCGCTCACCCCACGCTCCTCCAGGGCCTCTCTCCAGGCTAGGGAGTGGGTACAGAAGGCAGTGGGGCTTCAGGTTCAATCAACCAGACTGGGAAAAGGGGTGGGACTGGCCTGACTTTGGGCACCCCCCCCACCTCCCATTCTGCCTCCTTCTACTCTTCTGGGCTTCTCTCCCCTCTGGCACCTGATCTCACTGCCCTTGAATGTACCGTGCAGATTTCTCTCTCCAGATCTCCACTTACACTGCTCCTGCCACCTGGAACATCTCTCTGTTCCCTCCAACTATCCAGATTCTTCTTTCAAGGCCTAGGTGAAGACTTCTCCCTCCAAGAAGTCTCCTGCAGCCGGCTCAGCTATAATTCTTAGACCTCTGGGGACAGGTGAGCCCCGCTTTGCTTGCTAACTCCAGCGATCAGGCCGGGGGCTGCCCGGAGCACCATTCACAGAAAGACCAGGGAGGCTGCATCCGGGCTCAGCTGGAAAGAGTTGTGGGATCTATTGGAGATGTCTGCCAGGGTCAGGAACTAGAAGACTGCAGGGCTTTATGCTTCCTTTCCCTGCTGAGGCATCTGGGCCGTGAGGCCATTTATTCTAACATTTTCACACGTGGTGACATTCAGCCTCTCTCATTGCTTTGCCTTCTGTCTACCCAGGGGAGACATAGCCTCCTGACGGCTGGCACCTTCCCATGTATCCCCTGTGTCCCTCAGAGTGGTAGGGATGTGTGAAGACTTGACAAACCCCAGTCGGAGAGAGGGACATGAGGAAAATGCTGTCACTTTCTCTAGAGTTGGGAACCTGGGTCACAGGGCTTCCGAAACATCTACAGAGGAGGGCTGTAGGGGACATGACGTGCGGAAGATTTTCCTTGAGGTCCCAGAGGAAGTGAATGCCAGGAAAACCTCTCTAGTAGACTAGAGGTTGCTGGATTGCTGGTGTTTCCTAGACCAGCGGGGCAGGGCCCAGTGACCAGCCTGGCATCAGGGACCCCTAGGCTGCAGCCTTATATCCCCTGGTCCCCACAGAGGCTCCCCTTTTTCTCTTCTGAGGCTCAGAAAGCATTCATTAGTGCATAGCCTCCCACCCGTGAGACCCCATTTTATAGATGGGGAAATGAAGGGTGCTTGGAATTCATGGCTGAACCCCAGGGCCCATCCAGCAGTTTGGGGGTGGCTAGAGGGGCTCTGGCTCCAAACATAAGCTCTCTGTTCAGGCCAGACCCCAGGCTTGTCAAAGAGGCAGTTCTCTCCTTACAGACCCTGATGAAGAGTCACTTACAGATGGTTAGTTCTGAGTCCCTTGTGATCAGACAGAGAAAATGAGGCCCAGAAAAGACCAGGGCTGGCCCCAGGCCACACAGCTTCTCCTAATGGACAAACTTCCTGACAACCAGGTCCCCTGAGACTCCAGAATAGAGGGTGAGCAGGGCTGCTTGCCTGGGCCTTTGCCAGGGTCCCACACTGCCCAGACCCAAAGACACTGAAGAAAGGGCCCCTGCAGGACTCCTACTGTGGTGGCCAGCCTTGGCCCACACTAGTATATGCCTATATTTTCCACCAAGTTAGACATTTTGACTCTCCACCAAAGGAAGACCTTGGCATGGGGAGGTTGTGCATCACAAAGACCAATGGTGTAGGCCTAGTGCTCAGAAGTTTTCAGCTTGGCCACTGGCGCCCAGGGGCATTTAGCCCTCCTAGCTTCAGTTGCTTTATCCCCCAAATGACGTGGGATCAGGGCATCTCTGCACTCTTGTCCAGCTTCAAATTCTTACTATAGTGTGAATGACTGATAGAGGACTTTTCTTGAAGCCATGTTGACAGGAGGTGGGAAGGAGAGCACAAAGGTGAGAACGGGACCCCAGGGGATGCTACAGATATGAGTCATGATGTGGTCCAGAGAGGAGGTCTGGGGGCCAGGACCCTCAGCCTGATTCTGAGCCCCCTCCCTGGCTGGCCTTTCTCTTCCTTCTTTTCCTCCTCTGTCTCTCCTCCCTACTTCCTGTTCTGCTGCAGTGGTTCATGCAGTCCTCCCCTCAGCATGGAGCACTGTGAAGAGCTGGTCCTTGGCCAGATTTGCATTGGTGGTTTATTGGTTTAATTAATCAGGGGCTGTACACAGTGTCCCCCTCCTCCGTGTGAGGTTGGGCAGGGGCTGGGCTGAGCATCCACAGGGCAGCTGGCTGGCATTAAAGACCCAAGGAAGCCGCTGACATCGGGTTCAGCCTGTTTCAGGGACCTGTGGTTCCTGTTCCCTTTGTCCCCTTTGGACTCTATCTGAAGTGACACTGCAGACAACAGACAGCTTCATCAAGCCTGGAGCCTCTGCCAGGGAAAAGGGGGCCCAGCGGACAGCAGGCAGAGGGAGCGCGGCCTCAGTAGCCTGGATCCCACCCTGGCCTCGCCTTCTCGGGCAGATGCCCCACTCGGGCCCCCCCCCAAGAACTGCCTGGCCTCAAACCAAGTGGTTCTTTCGTCCTCGACAACGGAGCGGGGGTTCCCGAGGCCCGCGGTGTGCTTTCCCGTGCCCACTCTTGCCTGGCATCTCTGGATGCCATCATGGAGAAGGCATTTGTTGCATCTGCAGCAGGGGCAGGAGTGACTTCAGGTGACCAGGGAGAACTGGCCTGGGAGCCAGAAACTTGGGCTCTGTGCCCTCTGAGCCCTAAGGGCTGTGTGGCCCGTTTTCCAGCTGCCCTCTGTGGACGTCAAGTGAGGCCTGGGGTCAGCATTGGCTGAAGTCCCTTCAAGCTCCACGGTTGTCTTTTCTCTCATGCCCGGGAGCTGTCCTTATACCGCGGAGCGCTGGGCACTGGCTGGGCGGCTCCCACTGCGGCCGTGGCAGCCAGTTCTCACTCCAGCTCTGTCAAGGGGGCCAGCGCATCGGCACCTTATCGATGAGCCACTCAGAGAGGTTGAGTTACCTGCCTCAGGTCACACAGCTAGTTTGGCAAAGCTTGGTTTGAGGCCAGGCAGTTCTTGGGGGGGGGCGGTGACAATGGGGTTGATGGAGTCCCCCGGATCCCTCCCACCCTACTGTCACATTGGCCCCTCCCAGGTCAGCTACAAGGCACCTCCCGCCCTGCAGAGCCTGCAGCAAGGGTCTGCCTGGGGGTCATGGGGAGGACAGAGATGCTGCAGGCAGTCTTTGGCCTCATCTTTTGTTTTTCCGTTTTTAAACATGGAACACTTCAAGATTCTGTGTGTCATCCTTATGCAGGGGCCACGCTCCTCTTGCCCGCCCTGCTTCAGTGTTGGTGTGTGTGCGGCCGAAGCGAGCACACCCCGTCCTTCGGAGATGAGGCTGGAGGCCCCAGGATGGTGGCGCCGAGTGGGCTACACTTCCCATAGGGAGCCAGGAGCCTGGGTGAGGGGGTGGAGGGCTGCAAGGGGTCCTCTTGGCAGGAGTGAGGCTGGGTGCGGGGGAAATGCCTTGGTGGCTCAGAGCCTGACGGTAGCGGCAGGGTCTTCGAGGCCCATTGTCCAGATGAGAACACTGAGGCCCAGGGTCGCACAGTCTCCTGGGGGGCTCCCTGGGAGAGTCTGGCCTGGCCTTCTGCTGATCCTCCCCCAACTTACACCCCTTGCCGCCTGGACCAGGGTGGCCGCCGAGGGGGTTCAGGGGACAGGCAAGAGCGGGGACCGGCCCTGCAAGCTGGTGTCAGCAGCGTCTGTCTCATGAGTTCACAGCTGCTGGGATCATCTGCTCAGTCTCCCACCTTGGCACCAGCTGCTTCCCTGCCCCGCCCGCTCAGTCCACGGCTTTTCTCTGTTCCTTGGCGTCTCTGTTCTTCCTCCCTCCCCTCTCATTCTTTGGGTCTCTCAGAATTGGTCATCTCTGCCCCATCCACTGGGGGTGCCAGCCCTCCAGTGCCCAGGACCCGGGGGAGGTTTGACAGGCAAGCGGGACAGGCTGGGCTGGGGGACCGCACCCTGGGGGGAATGGGGGTTCCCCGGTTGATCACTCTGAGCTTCCAACTCCTCATCTATAAGATGGGGATAACAGCGCTCGCCTCAGAGGGCCATCGTGAGGGGCTTGCTTCTGCCCCGCTGCCCCACCGATGAGGCAGCCCTGCCAAGCTGGCCCTGCAGAGCGCCATCCACCTCTGGTGTGTCACGGTCGTTAACAAGGAGGGCTAACGGGTGGGGGTTCTGGTGCCACTGCTCAGCCCTCGGAGCCTCAGTGTGCACATCTGTGAAATAGGAAGAATAAGGCCTCCTTCCTGGGCTTGATGAGAGGGCTCCCATAAAGCTCTCACTGCGGGGCCCCACAGACATCAGAAGGGCCCAACGAATGGGGCTGACTATTCTCATTGAGCCCGCCAGTGTTGGGGGGCTCACCCCCTCCAAGACGGGTAGCCAGGGTGCCTGTTCTAGATGACACCTGGGCGTGTGGACCAGGAGTCATTGCCTCTGCCTGCTGGTCGAGTCCCTCTTTCTCCTTCCAGAAGCCTCCCCCAGCTGCCCACGCTGTTGACATCTTCCTCAAGCCTCCTGTGGCATGATTGGCTGGGCCCACGCCTGGCACCTGTTTCCTGCTGGTTTACTCATTCTCTCGCACCTGGGGTATTGCAAAAGCCTCCCAAGTGCTTGTCCTGCCCTCCCTGGCCCTCTCCACTCCACTCGTGAACTTTTTATCTAGAGGAATTAAAAAAAACCTCTTTATTGGGGGTATTTCTTAGTATAAAGCTCTCAAATCTTAAGTGTGCATGGCTCGATGGATTTCTCCATGTGTAGACTGTGTAAATGCCTCATCGATCAAGATACAGCACACTCCAACAGCCCAGGCCCTTTTCCAGTCAATAATCTCCCAGAGGTAACCGCTCTTCAGACCTTAATCCCCCAAATTAGTTGCATCTACCCCTGAGCTTATTCAAATGCACCCACACAGCACACAGGCATTTCTGTCTGCCTCCTTCCATTCCACCTTATGGCTGTGAGGTCCATCCCACACTTACAGGCCTTGCAATTTGTTCTTTTTCATCGCCGTGTAGTATTTCACTGACGGGATGGGCCCTCACTTACATATGCACCCCACAATCCCTGGGCTGTAGAGCGGTTCTCAGTTCCTGGCTCGCATGGAAAAAGCTATGATGAACGTTTCTGTTCACATCTTTGGCGGTCATTTTGCTTTCGTTTCTCTTGGGCAAATTCTTGTGACTGGCATTTGCCAGATCACAACCCAGGCATGTGTTTAGTTTCCGTAAATCCTGCCAAGCCATTTCCCAAGCGGTTAATTAACACTCCCTCTAGCAGCGTGTGTGAGTTCTGGTAGCTCCGCATTCTTGTCGGCTCGGGGAGCGAGCATTCTTTTTTAATTTTAGCCATCGTGGTGGGAGTATGATGGGATCCCATTGTGGTTGTAATTTGCATTTCCCCCCGCGAGTGGTGGCGTTGGGGACTTTTCACATGCTCACTGGACAGCTGGACTCGGGCTCACTGAATAGCGCCTGTTCCAGGCCTTGGCCAGTGCTTTTTTTTTTTTTTATTAGGCTGGGGTTTTTTCTTGATTTGGAGATTTTTTTTTCTTTTTTCTTTCTTCTTTTTTTTTTAAAGATTTTATTTATTTATTTGACAGAGAGAGACACAGCGAGAGAAGGAACACAAGCAGGGGGAGTGGGAGAGGGAGAAGCAGGCTTCCTGCTGAGCCGGGAGCCCGACGCAGGGCTCGATCCCAGGACCCTGGGATCATGACCTGAGCCGAAGACAGACGCTTAACCACTGAGCCAAACAGGCGCCCCATCTTTTTTTTTTTTTTTAAACATATTCTGGATTTGATTCGTCTGTGGATGCGTGTATAGGCATATGCTTCTCTCTCGTCATCATTCACTTTCCCATCCTCTCACAAACCCCTCTCTTTGGCTCCTTGGGCGGTGCGGGTTCCTACCACTGAGGTTGGAATGTGGGGGGGCCCTCTGCCAGGTGGGATCGCCCTCCTCCCCACCTCGCTGGGCTTGCTGTCCAAGACCTAAATCAAACCACTTCCTCTAGAAAGCCAGCCCTTCCTGCTTCCTGCTCCACGGCTGGCAGCTCTGTGTTTGGCATGCTCAGCATGCACAGCCCGATGGCTACCATAAATGTGTGCATCTGGGCATCCGTGTGCACCTCTGGGGTGGGACGGTGTCCTGTACCTCCCACAATGCTGGCTCTCGACCACCTCTTGGGGTAGGTTTTCAAAGGTAGTGTTGAGGTATGGCCCAGTTTGCCTGGGACAGTCCCCACTGACACCCATGGACGCAGCATGCTTATTAGCAACCCGCCTGGAGGCCCTGAGGGGAGGGGAGCGGGCGAGGCCACCCAGGGGCTGATGGGGAAGAGAACCCTCGTCTTAGGGACAGACCCGGGTCTAGTGCTGACCTGCCATCATGTACCGTGTGCTCTCGGGTAACTCCCTCACCCTCTGTGCCTCAGTTTCTTCTTCTGTGAAATGGAGAGAATAAGTCTTCCTTTGCCCACGCCTCACCAGGGGGTTATGAGATGTCAGGGGAGCGTGCGTGTGACAGAACACAGGGCCGATGCACAGAGAAGCCAGTCTTGCCCGGGGCGAGCCCCTGCTTGGGAGGGAGGCGTCGGGCACCCCTGGCCCATTGTGCCTGTGTGAGAACGGAGGGGGCCCCGGGAGGGGCACTGAGCGCGCTCTGAGCGGGGGAGAAGCATGTCCCAGTCCGAGAAGCCTGGCTGAATACTCGCATCTCAGTCCGGGTGGTGGCTAAATGTCCTTTTCCGAGTGTTCAAACTATTTCATAATTTACCTTATTTTTCAAATTGAAAAAGAAAAGCCAGATTGGGCTCTCCTGATGCTCTGGGCTGCTTGCGAGGAGCCACCCTCCCGCTGCTCCTTCAGGCACCGCACGTGGATCAGGCCGGCCTGCATGGGCTGTCGTGGGCACGTGTGGGACTCGCCTCTGACAAAGGAGGACACACGCCCTGTGTCCAGCTCCGCACACTCCGTCGGATGGCAGCCGGCTGAGGACAGGTGTTTGAGGGGTGGAGGGAGAGTGACCCAGGGCCTGGGGCTCTGCCGGGACGGGGTGCCAGGCCTGCAAAGGGGGCAGAGGCAGGAAGTGACAGAGGCAAGCTCAACTGACTTCCCGAGGCCAGAGTGGGGCCCCACGGCCCTCATTTGTACAGGTGGGGAGACTGAGACCCAGAGGCCAGAGAGCACTTGGTCAAAGTCATGCGGGCGATTCTTGGGGCCGGGTCCCTCCCGCTGACATCACTTCCGACTTGCCCCCCAACAAGCTTGCCGGGGATCAGGATACATTTTTCTGGCTTCCCCTCAGACTTTGAAATCCTGAAACTGCCTCGTCAACCCCCAGGCTTGGGCCGACCTCTGTGTCTTGGACCTGGGCTCCCCAGGACTGAGATCCTCTGAGTCCTGGGATGACCCCAGAAGAGCTCAGGTCCAGTGGGTAGCTCTGGGAGCTGGCGCGGGCTCACAGGCTCGTGGAGGTAATTCTGGGCACCTCTTCCCATCTCTGAGTCAGTAACCAGGGCTGCTGGCCTGCAGAGGCCTTGGTGGGAGTGTTTGTATCACGGAAATTGGTTAATGCCCGAGGCAGGGTTTTCCCTGGCCACTGAGGGAGGCACGTTTCCCAGCGCGCCACTGCACCCCGGCCCCCCGCTCCCGCCCCCTTCATCCCCAACCACAGCAGCTCCACTTCATCGGTTTTATACTTTGGACTCTGGGTGAGATTTCATTTGAAGGAGAACTCTACTGCTTTATAAATTTTTGAAAAATTCTTCTTTTTAAAAAAGATTTTATTTATTTATTTGGGAGAGAGAGAGCAAGCGCTAGAGCACAAGCGGGGGCGGGGGGAGGGACAGAGGGAGAAGCAGGCTCCCCGTTGAGCAGGGAGCCGGACTCGGGGCTCGATCCCAGGACTCTGGGATCATGACCTGAGCCGAAGGCAGCCGCTTAACTGACTGAGCCACCCAGGAACCCTGAAAAATTATTCTTTTGGACCAATTTATTTGTTGTCATCTATCCTGGGTGTGCCAAGGAAACCTATGTGTCAGGGACTAACCTGGCCTAACTTGTGTGCTCTGAACTGACCTCTGAGTCCTGGGCTATCCTGGGCTAACAGGTGTTCCAAACCAACGCAAGTGTTTGGGGATATCGTGTGTCCCTGGATTAGTGTGTGGGCCTGGGCTGACCTGTGAGCTAGTTCTAGGCTAGCCTGGGCTAAGCTACATGTTCAGAGATAAGTTGTAGACCCTGGGCTACCCTCGGCACCTGTTCCAAGCTAATCTGCAAGACCTGGGGGAGTGCTCCCTCTTCCTC